TTATGTAAGTCAGAGTAAAGATGGTAAAATATATGTAAGAAAAAGAAAGGTACCATTAGCGAATGCAGAGAGCGACAACATTAAGGTGCATAGCACCGAGGGTGAAGCCCATATAAAACCTTCTATTCAAACTGAAAAGTCAATAGAACCAGAAGAAAAGAAGCCAGATGTTCTTTCAATAACGAACCAAGAGCTTATTGCAAAGTTCGTGAATTTCATTGAAAAACAAACCGAGTCAAAGAACCCTGACCCACCAGTGAAAGAAGTTGAGACAAAAGAGAATGTACAGTTCATTGAAAATGTCAAGAAACAACTTCCACCACGAATACCAAGAAGAAGAGTGAGAATAATGAAGTAAATAGATATTTTTATCTGAAGTAAATACATGCAGAACGAACAGTTAAACGAATTTACTCCAGCAGAGCATATTCATCAGATTCGCTCATATTTCGATATCATAGACAATGCAGTTCAAATTGGTGACACTAATAGAAAATATTCTGACGCAAAGATTCCATCACAACCTGGAACTGCTAAAGATAACACATGGGTAACATTCAATCTCTCACCTCCTGGTGAAAATATGTTGGACCTTTACAATACATTCATTACGTATAAAATGGAAGGTCAATTTATTGTAGATAAAGAAATTGGTTCAGGTTCCAATAAAACAAACCCACCAGGATTTTGGATTGGTTTCGATGACGCTTTCTATGCAGTTGCTGGATATCAAATCCTTGCAAATGGTCGTATCGTATATTCTCAAGACAACGCAAGAGAAGAAGCATATATAACTTCAAACTCACAAACTACCGAACAAATAAAGAAAGTAGATGTTTTCTCAAAGACTCGACATGAAGATGTATGGAGTCATTCGGGAACATGCAGAACAGGACAAATTGTTAGTGGTCCAATTACAGCAGGAAAATCATTTGATTTTAAGCTTCGTTTAAGAATTCCTGTTAGAAGATTCCTTCCATTAGAAGCTATTCGATTTATTCCAGCTTTTGCAGGAAACATTCAGCTTAAAGTAAAGTTCAGTAGCGACGCCTTACAATGCACATCTATATCTGTAAATGATATCATTGCTTTCAATCCAACTCTTAAAGTTGCATTTGCTTCAGATTCAAATCCACCGACAAATAAATTTGTTCCATGGAATGAACCATTCACTATGATAACGAAGGCAGTAGAAGCTAGTGGAACAGTTACTATTACAACTGTAAACCAGCAACTATTTCGAACAAAGATGGATTTTAATGAATGTTTCATTCATCCAAAGTCATTCTCTTTAGACCCTAACATTTATACAGAACTTGTAGAACATTATACAAACGAGGCTTTATGTTTTCCTGTTAAAGTTATGGATTGGATTCCTATGGACGGTTCATTCTCAAAGAATACAGATAGTTCAAGTGCAACATTTACAGCAGCTTATACGCCTATTAATGTTAAAAGTATTTGGGCACTATTTAGAAAGAAAGACAACTATTATGTTAATTTTGAGAACCCTAAGTTTAAATATCTTCAGCTTTCCATGGGAGCTTATGGAAATATGCCTGCAGAACCTGAAAAATCATATGGACCTGTATTTTATGAAATGGTTGCGAACGCCTGCAATACAAACAATGATATGATAGGATTTAATGAAGATGTTATGAGGTCATTGGTGGATGATGGTAGTGTGGAACATAAATGGGATAGCTATGACAACACACATTTCTTATGTGGTTTTCCAACAGAAGTGGACTTTTGCTTCCAGCAAGGTCAAACATCTACTGCTCCAATAACATACAAATTGTCTGTTAAAGGACCTATTGAACTAGCAACTGAAAACGTACCAAAGCCACTTATTGGATTTATGAGGGATTGTTGCTTTGCAATACAAGTAAGACAGTCAATACCAATAATAAGATTGACGACTATAACTTAGCAACTGACGACAGTGAGGAATAAAGGATGAACGTTTATTTTTAAAGCTTATAAATGAGTTCTTCATCAAGCTCTCGTGAACCTTCACCATCTATTAAGAACAAACTTTACCAAACGATTATGGAGCACCTATTGAATATTTCTTACGAGCTGCACAATGGCAAAGAGCAGTCTCACCAAGGTTAGGTGTTCCACCAGCTCCTGTCAAAAATAGCATTTGGTCAAGTCCTTATATAAAATATGGTCTCCCACTAGGTTTGCTAGCTACAGCAGGAGCAGTAATGATGTTGAAAAGAAATAAAGCAAATGTTATAAATAATACTGAAGTAGCTGAATTTGAAACAAACTCCGACACCATCGCCAAAACCAACGCCTTCACAAGCAAAACCTTCAATGACTCCTGAACCTATGAAAGTACAAACTCCTGTTCAAAAGTCAACTCCTAAAACCGACTCCAACATTTAAACCAGAACCTACGCCTCAAATAAATCGTAAAACTCCTGCGTTTCCTTACTGAAAAAAAATAAGTTAGTTTTATTTTATTTGAACATTTTATTTAGAGTAAAATGACGACTAAAGTCACTGAAGCAATGAAACAAAATTTTTGGTAGAATACATTAAATCAGGAGCGGTTCCAGAAGGTTTTTACGTTCATACTATGAAGGATGGTAGAGTTCAGTTTAGAAAGATAAAGCAACCATTAGATAGAGAAGGTATATTAAGGAAGATTAAACTTCATGAGGACAACATTGCTGAACTTAGGAAGAAGTTAGAAGAGTTGGAGAAAGGAAGAGAGTTATAAAGCAATGAATTCAAGTGGGTGAAAAAGAGGTGAAAAAAGAGGTGAGATTTCACCACTTCACCTAAATTTATTTTTGCGCTATGTTTTCATACGTGTGAGGGTGGTGATATCATTTTTATTTTTTTTTTTTTTATTATTTTATTTTATTTTTTATTTTATTTGGATATAAATGACGAAAACTATTGAGATAACAAACTACAACGGTCATGAGTTCAAGAATTTGTTCTTCGTTCCTCGTGAAAATACATTCTATCAGATACGAGGGAGAAAGGGTAAAGTTAGTTTGAGCGTTTATGAAGGAATGAAGAATGGAAAGTTTATACAAGCATACGATACAAACGGTAAACGTGTTTCATTAGCTTTGTCAAAACTTACTAACATTTATTTTGACAGTGACTTTGACTCTGACGATTGGAGCGACAGCAGCGATACTGAAGAATATGAACTATTGTGTGAAGCACAGCAATGGGAAGAGTTGCAATACTTTTGTAAGTGAGAACGTTTATTTTTACAGTAGTGAGTTCGTTAGTGAAAACGTTTATTTTTTCATTAGTGAGGTGAAGTGGTTGGCGGTTTTATAAATATTTAAGGTTAAGTTAGTGTTGTCGTTTGTGTTGTAAAATATACGTTAACGGTTTCATAAAGTGTCAAATTCACATATCAGGGGTAAGGTGGCGCGCAGTGCCTCCGTACACTTGATATGTATACTAACTATGATCACTATGATATACTATAGTGTATTTTGTGTGACAGTCTGAGAGAACAAAAATGACAACTTTCTGCGAAAATAAATATTCATCATTGTTGTTATTATTAAAAACTTTTTCTTGTTCATAAAAAATAAATGATCGAACACGAAACTGGGTCATTGTTACATCAGGTAACTCCGGAATTATCATATAACAAGAATTATCTGTGAGGTGATCATCAATAATGTTCCTTTGGGATCCATTATAAAAATTTAATTCATAAAACACAATATTTTGATCTAATGATATTCCAGATTGGGTTGGTAATGAAACAACTGACCAATTAACTTCAACATTTTGATTAATAAAACCTTTTCTTGGTACATTAATATTCGAAGGTTTTTCTGGAGGAACAACATTATTCATGTTAATTGTCCCGACAACATTATATAAAATTACAGTTTTGTCGTGACTGTTAGTATAAACAACTGTGCTATTAAAAGGGTCGGGATAAAGTCCATCGCAAATACTTGCCCCTGATGATATTTGTCTATCAAGAGTAAAAGTTAATGGTAAATTTGGGGATGTCGTTTTAAGAATTCTAACATCAGGTCGATAACTATCAGCTATTCCTACATACATATATCCATCACAATCAACAAAAAAATTAGAACTAAACATATCTCCTGCAAAATTAGTTCCGCCTGATATTCCATACGTTCCTTTTGAAGAAGGATTTAATGGATCAATGAAATATACTATTGTTGCATCCGATTCTTTGTATAATATCAATTTTCTTTTATAATCAAATCCAAGTTGACAAAATTCGCCATCTACAGAAATTGGAAGTTTTGCTATCTTTGTTAATGTTGCAGATGGAATTCCGGTGTTCGGATCAGTTGGAAGGGAATATAAATTGTCATTATTATCAAATAAATATAATTTATTATCAAACCAAACCATTCCCGGCATAATATTATCCTGAACATTTATGGAAATAGATACTTGTCCTTTCTTGACAAGATCATGTTTAGTTGCATATTCAAGTACATCTGGATTTTGCATAATATAAATTAAATGCTTTCCCACAGCAATTTGATCCGAACCTGAGAAAGCTGTCGGATTCGATGAAATAAGTGATCCAAAAGCTGTAATTGGCATTTCCTAAGAAAATTATATATATTTAACTAGGTAAGATAGTTGATTTGAATCGATTAATAATTTTTTTTAATTTCAATTCGAAACAATTTAATCGATAATATCATTTTAATCTAACAAACTTTCTTCACTATTTCACGCATCATGATTTTGATTTAATTCAAACAATTTCAATGGTTGCCTATAATATACTCCATCAAATTGACCATGGAAAATTGTCACATTTTATAAATCATTAGATTTGTTAATATAGGTATTTCTCGCCAAAGATGCTCATATGCACCTTCTAATAATAATAACGCAGAGCTCTTGTAACTGCATAATTATTAGATAAAACAATCCTAAAAATATTAGCATTTCATTTTAATTTCAAACAATATTTTATTCATGAATAAAAAATATATAATATTTTGATAGAATTATTTCTTATTCTCTTCTTCAGAAACTGTATCTTCTGAAAGTTCGACTGATTCATCAAAATCTGTAAAAGATTCATCAGTATTAGCAATACTTGAATTTTCATCAAAGCTTGAATTACTTGGAATTTCATCTGATTTTTCTCTTTCATAATCATCAGAGTTTTCATCACAATCGGAATCACTTGGAATCTCTTGAGATTGTTCTTTGTTTTTCATCGGTGTATTTTCTGTACTTTCATCAAAATTAGAATCACTTTCTATTTCATCCAAAACTTTGTCTTCATTTGATTGATTGTTTTTGTCTTCATTTGATTGAATGTTTTTGTCTTCATTTGATTCTTTATTTTGATTTTCTTTTACTTCATGTTTGTTGTTGTTTTGGAATAGTGTTTGTTGGATGTTTTGTTCGTGTTCTTCGCGGAATTTGATACCATCATTGATTGCTTTGATGATGGCTTCGCTTAAACTTGGTTGTCTTGGTTCTTCGACTTTGTTTGTATCTTCAACAACAGAATTAACTGCATCTTCAATTACTTTGTTGACATTTTTCGCCAAATAATCTCTTGAATTCAACTGAGTTTGGTTTATTTCTTGAATAGTTTCATCAACTGTTTTAGAAAGATTTGTCTGAGAAAATTCTCTTGAAAAAGTTTCTTGTTCATTGTCTTCTTCAATTTCATTTACAATATCATTAATTTCATTTTTAATTTGTCTTTCTGTGAATTCTTTAGAAAAGTTTTCTTGTTCTAGTAATTCTTCATTTGTTTCTTTTGATTCTTTAAGAACTAAATTAATTATTTGGTTGAAATTCGTTTGTGTAAATTCTTTGGAAAACTTTTCTTGTTCTAATTCATTTTGATTTTCTTCTTTTGTTTCTTTTAGAACAGAACTAATCAAAGATTTCTTTTCTTTCTCAACAAAATCTTTTGCGAACTTTTCTTGTTCTTTTTCATCTTCTTTTTCTTCATTGTTTTGAATTTCTTTTTGTTCTTCTTGTTTGATTAATTCTTCTTTTTCTTCATTTTGTTCTTTATGTTAATGATCCATTTGAGATGATTTTTGTTTTTCTTCTGATGATGGAATTTCTTCATTGTTTCCTATGTTTTGTTGAATTTCCTTTGGTTCTTCTTGTTCATTTTCTTGTTCTTTCTTTTCGTTGTTTGGTTGGATTTTTTGTTGTTTATTTTCTTGAGATTCTGTTTGTTTTTCTTCAGATGACTTATGATCATTTTCTTCATTATTTTGTTTAATTTGCTTTTCTTGAAGTTCTTTTTCTTGTTTTGATTGAGATTTTTCTTCAATTTTTTGTTTTGTTTCTTGTTTAGGAGTGAAATCTCTTGTTGTTTGTTGTTCAGAAGGTTTCAAAAATGATGATAAATTAGAAATTGGTTTTTTGTTTTCTTGTTTTTCTCTTGGTGAAAATGAAGATCGAATCATTCCAAATAATCCTCCAACTTGTTCTTCTTCTTTTTTATTTTGTTTTTGTTCTTCTTTCTCTTTCTTTCCATTAATCATTGATTTGGCCAATCCAAATAAACCTCCTGTTTCTGGTTCTTTTTCTTCAACTTTTTTAATTTTTACTTCTTTTGGAATTTCTGGTTTTTGTTGAGAATTTTCTTTGTTTTCTGTTATTATTTGGTGAAGAATTTCATTAATTATTGGTTTTGTGTTTGTTTCTAAATAATTTTTAGAAAATTTAGTTTGTTCATCATCTTCTTTGTTGTTTTCTTTGATTAATTTCGTGATTTCCTGAATGATTTCTTTAGAATTATTCATAACAAAATCATTTGCAAATTTAGTTTGTTCATCATCTTCTTTGTTACTTTGTTTTGATGAAACTAAAACATCATTAATTGTTTGTTTCATTTCTCTTTCACAAAACTCTTTAGGAAACTCATTTTCTTCTGTATAACTTAAGAATTCTTTATAACTTTCATTTATTTCCTTATTTTGATTGTCTTTGTTTTCTTCTTCAATTTCACTTTCAAATTCTTTATCACTTTCTATTTCTTTTTCTTCTTCTTGACTCAAAGTTGCTTTCAACATGTTTGCAATGTTTGTACTGATTGTTTCATTATTGTTTTCTTCTTTTTCACTTTCAAAGTCATCTGTTGGACTACTGAAGTCATCATCATCTTTTTCTTCTTCTTCTTTCATTTCGTTGTTTGGTTTAAATTCTTGAATATGTTCTTTTTGATTTTGATTAAATTCTCTTTCTTTGTTTTGTTTTGTTTGTGGAAGAAGTGATGATGATAAAATGTTTAATGCTTTTTCTTTGTTTTCTTCTTCAGAAGATTTTTCTTGTTCATTATTTTGATTAAATTCTCTTTCTTTGGTTTCATTTGATAATGAATCAGAAAGAGGTTTCAACAAGTTCTGTTTGTCTTTTGAAATAAGTGATTGTGACAACAAATTTGTTTCTACTTCTTGTGATGAAATTTTTTTTTCTTTAGATAACATATTTGATAAATCATTTGCAATATTTTGTTTTTCTTCATCAATTTCTTTCTTAATTTCATTGTCATCTTTAGACAAAACAGAAGAAATATCACTTTTATCTTCATTTATATCTTTTTCTTCTTCTTTCGATAAAACATTTGAAACATCTTTAATTGTTTCATCAACTTTGTTTTCATCTTTAGATAAAACAGAAGAATTTTCATCTAAAACAGATGATTTTTGGTTGTTTTCTTCTTCATTTTTAGATGAATCATCTTTGTTTTCTTCTTTTTCTTGAGATAAAACATTAGAAATGTTGTTAATTGTTTCGTTAACTTTGTTTTCTGTTTTTTCATCATCTTCTTTGTTTTGATTTTCTTCTTCATTATCATTAGATGAAATTGAAGAATTTTCATCATTTTTATCTAAAACAGAAGTATCTTCTTTTTCTTTTTCCAAAATATTTGACAAATTTTCTTCAATATTTTGTTTCTTTTCTTCAAATTCTTTCTTAATTTCATTTTCTTCTTCTTTTTGGAAACTATCATCATGTTTATCTTCATCTGAAAATTCTTCTTTTTCTTCATCTTCTTTTTGTGAATTTTCATCTTGTTTTTGTAAAATATTTGACAAATTTTCTTGGATTTCTTTCTTTATTTGAATTTCTTCTTCTTTTTCTGGATTTTCTTCTTCAGGTTTTTGTGAATTTTCATTTTGTTTTTCTTCTTCTTTTTCTAAAACAGAAGAATTTTCATTATCTTTCTCTTTCTCCAAAATATTTGTCAATTTTTCTTCAATATTCTGTTTCTTTTCTTCAATTTCTTTCTTTATTTCATTTTCTTCCAAATTCTGTGAATTTTCATCTTTATCTTTTTGTGAATTTTCTTCAAATTTTTCTTCGTCTTTTTGTAAATTTTCATTTTGTTTTTCTTCTTGTTTTTCTAAAACAGATGAATTTTCATCATTTTGTTTTTCTTCATTTTTATTTTGTGAATTTTCTTCTTCTTTTTCTTCCAAATGCTGCAAATTTTCATCATTTTGTTTTTCTTCTTTATTTTCTTCTTTTTGTAAAATATTTGACAAATTTTGTTGAATTTCTTTTTTAATTTCAATTTCTTTTTGAGGATTTTCATTTTTAGCTTGATTTTGTTTGTTTTCATCGAGAGAAGGAGATTCAGTGTTGTAAGAGTTTTCATCATTTGGAAGTAAGTTGGAATCAGCCAAGTGGTTGATTCCTTTTCCTCTGTTTGCAATTGCTTCAGGAATTTTATTAATTTTCTCATTGAAATATCTGTGCAAACTCAACATTGGTTTCTTTGCATTTATTTCTTCATTTTCACTTTCATCAACATCGAAATGAACTTCTTTTGTATCATTTTCATTTGAAACAAATTCACAATCACTTCCACACATCGCAATCATTGACATGTTTGAGTCACATCCTGATTTCATGTCTTCATCACTCGTCATCTTCACACTCGACCATTCTTTCTGTATCCTGTTGAATTTGTTCAATGAATTCATGTCTAATTTCGTCTTTTTGATTTTTGGCAAATTTGACTTTTTGTTTTCTTTCTTAAGCGAAAACATTTTGTGTGATAAGTCAACATTAGGACCCCATATGTTCTTGTTCAATTCCCCTGTTTGTAAATTAGGTTTCGGTTTGGTCGTGTCACGTTTTGTGACAAAAACGGTTTGTTCTCTCAAAGATTGAATAGGAGCGATTAAATTCGGCAATAAAGGGTCAATTTGGACCTTTTCTTCTGTTGATTTCAAGTCACTGTAAGCTCCATTGAATCTTTGTATTCCTGTTTCTTCTTCTTGACTTCTTTCTCTTGAAGTTTTTTTCAAAGTTTTTTCTCTGTTTTTGTTTTGATTCAATTTTTGTTGTTTTTCTTTTTCTTTCTTCATTTGTGTCTCGTATGTTTCTCTTAGACTCTTTCTGTTCTCAAGGAAAACGATTTCTTCTTTGTTTTGTTTGTGAATTAACTGTTTTTTCATGTTAATGTAGTCATAGTTCATTTGGTTTTGTGCTCTGATGACTTCTTGTTGTTCCATGTATTCGATTTCTTTCGATTTTTGTTTGGCCGTCGTATATTGTTTTGTTAAAATTAATTGTTGGTAAATATACTTCTGTTGGAGCAGTTCTGGTGAACATTTCCTGTATTTTGAGGGCATCTCTTCAGACCAGATACGTTCAAAATCACTATTTTCTTTCTCATGCTTTTGTTTTAAGACTTGATAATATTTATTTGTTTCTTCATCGAATTTCTTAAGTGTATCATCGAAATTTGGTGTGTTTTGCTTATTTGTATCATCCTCGAAATCATCTTGGAATGAATCTTTTGATCTTGCGGAATTTAATATTTTTCTTTTTTGATTTTCTGTTTTTGCTTTAGATTTTAGTAATGCTGCTTTTTCTGCACTATCTAAATCTTTATTTCGAGCACATGTTTGTGAGTATTGATTTAAATAAAGAGGTAAAATATCTAAAGTTTCGTTGTCAATTTTGTCGTAATTTTCACCTGACTCTAGTATATCTTGTGCTTCAATACAGTGTTTATCCGTTAATAATGAGATGTTTTTCGTATCAGATCTGACGGATCTTGAAGAATTTTGGTTAAGCAATGTTTTCGGAGGGATAACTCGCTGTGTTGGTTTAGTTTCCTTTCTAGAAGAATGTTGCGTATCTTGTGATTGCTTAACAGGATAAGCCCATGGTTTAATCAATGAGCTTTTCCTCATTCTTTAGAAAACGTGCACAAAATTTTGTAAAGATTTCAAAATCTACTGACTTGGTTTTATAATTTTGGTAAAAAAGATAACATAAATATCGTGTTGTGATCTGTTTTCATTGCAAATTTAAGTGAATTTGATAGAATTCAAGAAATATATTTTAGAATCTGACAGCAAAGATACCATAATTATACCATCTTCTGTACTTACCCAATAAAATATTATAACCCTAAGCAATAGCGGTTAAATTAATCATGAAGATGAATTCGCAGAAATTTCGATCAATATCAAGGGAGTGACAGCATGATTACAAGAAATATGTATGTTTGATTCACATTAGGATATATTTAAAAGATATTATTAGAAAAAGTAATTTTTTATCTCGCTATTTTCATAAGATTGAGCAAAACTTTTATGTACTTGAACTTTTTTCGTTTAGTGATAATATCCGATGAACAACAATTGCATGGTTTAAAACGAGTAAAACCAATTTGAAATTCATCAGTAGAAGAAGACTGTGTGTTTAAATTAGGGTAAGATCCTTTGATTTCAATTGAGCTATGAACTATGTTTATTGAATAACCCTCATCAATCTCAAATGTATTTGGGGCGTTATTATCTTTAAAAATAGAATCCTCTATTAATAAATCATTGTTTTTTGTAGATATTAAGATATCTCCCAATGTATTATTCAATATATTAGTCTTGTTCACCGAAAATTCTTGATTTCCGTCAAAAGATATGCAATAATAACTGGTTGCTTTGTTGTTAAATAATGTTGTGTATGAACTATACCCTGGAGCGTTTGTTTGAAGGACGCAGAAACCGCAATTCTGTTGAGTTTTAGAATTTGAAGCATTTGCATTTTTTATTAAAACTTCGCCATTACTAAAATATAGTGTCGAAAGACCTGAAGTTAATGTTGCTTATGAACTTAAAAAAGAAGAAAGATAAAAATAATTTTTGTATTGAGTTGTGCTTGATTGTGTTTTTGTATATGAATGGTGTCCATGGCTCATTGTACTACAATTGTATGCGCAAATTTTATTCTGAATGACATTCAAATTAGCTTTAATATATATGTTTGCACCATTACCCATACTTCCGTCTGAATTTCTAGAATTTTGCTTATTAGAATGGAGTAATGATGATTCGATAAGAATTTTAATTGATGTTTCTTCATTATTATAGAAATCGATTAATCTTGAATTTTCTACTGATGTAACTTCACAAATGTAATAGTTATGATAGTCAGCGAAGTTTCCTGTTGAATAACTATCATTTGTTCCTTCATTAATTAACATTCTAATCTCAAAATGATGTAATAATGATGGAGATAGAGCAGAGATGCATTGATAAACAGTCATGTTCTTAGTTCCGATTTGACGTTTATAACTGGGAAGGATCACTTGATCCGATTTTCAAACATTACCACTTTTTCAATGGATCGTGTTTATAAGGTTAGTATTTCCTACCATAAAACAGTTATATTTATTGAAATTATTGATTCCTTTGCAATGTGATTACATTTTATCAAAAGGTTAAAATTTGTCCTTGACATCGACTGTAGCTCATCTTTTTTAAGTGAAAATTTACCAATTTACTGTGTTATAAAGGTAAGAAAAGCAAAAAAACTCTGATTTTGGGAAGATATATTGTACAATTTATGAGAAATCAAAAGAATATCAAAAATATTTTGATTGTTGAATGCTACATTGTTTTTACTTAGCTTGGTTGTTTAAATCATTGGTATGAAAAGAAAAAGTTTTAACATTTTTGATAAATTTACTTAAAACAAACAAAAAAATAATTAAAAAGTTATTATTTCCTTACAACAGAATTAGATCTGTTGTATTTTCTTGGTTGAGGTGTCTTTGGTGTCAAATGGACACCAGTTACCTGTAATCCGCTTGTCATTGAGTTCCTGTCGTAAATAGAAGCAGCGCTAGTCTTGTGTGGAATGTCCTTTTTCAGAGCATTTCTCAATACTTTGGTCGGAGCATGAGAAACTTCATCTTCAGAAGAAATTTTCGGAGTTTTTACTGTTTTTGCAGTTTTTCCTGAAATATTTTCATAATATTTAAGAACATAATCTTGTTGATCGCCAATTATACTTCCTGGCCGACATAATCTTATCCAGCCAATAGCTTCGTGTCCTGTAAATCCGAAATCTTTAATCATATAACATGCGGCCAAAGTTCCTGTTCTTCCAAGGCCAGCTTTGCAATGTAGAGCAACTATATCAGATCCTTCAATGATTTTTAGCCATTGCGTTAAGATTTCTGGAGGAGGAGTTGATCCATCAAGGAAATACAATTCTGTATGTTCGAAACTGGCTCGTTTGAATATCTCTTCATCGTAGAACTTCTGGCATAAACGGACAACTCTTGTAATCTTCTTTTCTGCGAAAACAGGTACTAAATCTTGAGGAGTTGCGACTCTCCAGCCTCCTCGTATACAATTGGTAGCGTATGGTGATGCAAATGCTAATAGTTTGTTTGGAATAAGCCAATTCATGTCGCCGTTCTCTACTTGTTCGTATTTTTTCCAATCTTGGGCATCAAAGTTGTCTGGATTGTACCAACCTATTTGCATGGCATGGTATAATCCTTTTATACATGATCCTACTGTTAAACTGTACTTGGATGGCAAGGATGAAGCATCTCGATACGGTTTTAGTGTTGGAAGAATAGTAGATAATGGTTTAAGAGCTTCCTCTGGAGTTAAATGTTGTTCTATAAGTAAATAGCTCGCTAATAATAAACTTGCGTTTGCAATTGTATGTTGATTTAAGTTTGTAAAGAATTGTACTTTTTCTGCATGCTCGTTTAATATCTTATTTGTTAGTAATCTGAATTTGTGAATTTGAAGTAAAGATAAAGGTCCAAAATCTGAAAAAAAAGGATAGTATTGATATTCTTCATCAGTATCGATCGAATAGCTAAACATTGTTGGTTTAGATCGCTGTGTTATTCGGGTAATGGTGAAATATAGTCTGTCTGGAATTATAGGTAAACAATTTACGGATTGCATCATAAAAAAATGATAAAAATGTAAAGTTCTAGGGAAGATGCAATATGCTTAACTTTCTAAGATAATGTTTTGTTTACTTAAAATGTACCTTATAAAATGAAAAATCAGAATTGAGCAATAATATTTCGAAGACCTAGAACAATTAGATAGTCCATGATTAATAATGACCTTTATAGCGGATTGAAATACTACACAGTAATCTACATTTTGAATAATTTCGCAATGTTAATATTCCTTCAAAGCCCTTGGGAAACCTGTCCACTAACGCTATCTGGTTTTCATTTTTATAGCAGAATTTGAACAAAAAGCATGCATATTTATGTTTTGATTTGTATTAAAAATTAATCTATCTTCAGAGCTTTTTTGTTGAAAATTTCATCAACATGTGATGGCTGCATCTCTTTAGTATGAATTAAAAAAGAAATATATACTTTTTATATTAAAAATGGAGATGGGGGGAATCGAACCCCCGGCCTCAACTATGCTAAAGTCGCACTCTACCACTGAGCCACACCCCCTTTACATTTATTCAATTATTTAAAATTATATAATGAATATATAAGTATTGTATCAAGTTTAGAAATAGTGATTTGACATCTCCTTTGAACAAATTCTTTAGATAATGAATATCATTAATCAAAAATAGATTCAATCAAATAATTGAAGAATATTTATAACTATATCTTATAAGTGGGTTATACTTTCCCCACTTGTAACTATAAGATCGAATTCCCTCTCTTCCAAAATGAAATTGTTGCCTTAGGTTTATGTAAATATTCGATTTTTTCTAGAGGATATGATTCAATTATTGCTGGGCCTTCATTTGGCTCGCTTTCGCCTTGATTTTCTGTAGTTTTTTCACTCAAAAAATCTGACAAATGTTTACCGTGGGGTAAAAGTGCCAAGGAATTTTGTCATTCCTTGGACCTTTTTGAATACCGTATCTAAATAATTTGACTCTTTCCATATATTGTATAAAACGTTTCCCTTATTCTTCAGGACTTTCTATCGTTCTCGAGAGTATTATTTTTTTACAATAATCAAATCAAAAAAAAATAAAAATGGAGATGGGGGGAATCGAACCCCCGGCCTCAACTATGCTAAAGTCGCACTCTACCACTGAGCCACACCCCCTTTACATTTATTCAATTATTTAAAATTATATAATGAATACAAATATTCAAAAATAGATTCAATCAAATGATTGAAGAATATTTAGAACTCAATCTTATACTTTTTCCCTTTACATTATAGGTTATATAGTATAGTTTTGCATAGTATTTAATTTGATCCATTCCAACAATGTTTCGATTATGACTTTAAGCTGATAAGAGTTCGCTATATTATGAAATTCTACTTATCTGTATATAAAGAATTTGTTCAAAGAAATAGAGAAACAAAAAGGAGATGTCATATCACTATTTCTAAACCGAATAACACAGCGATCTAAACCAACAATGTTTATACTTATATAACTTGATACAATACTTATATATTCATTATATAATTTTAAATAATTGAATAAATGTAAAGGGGGTGTGGCTCAGTGGTAGAGTGCGACTTTAGCATAGTTGAGGCCGGGGGTTCGATTCCCCCCATCTCCATTTTTATTTTTTTTTGATTTGATTATTGTAAAAAAATAATACTCTCGAGAACGATAGAAAGTCCTGAAGAATAAGGGAAACGTTTTATACAATATATGGAAAGAGTCAAATTACTGAAAGCAGATGAAGGACTTTAACAATTTGCTAATTAATATTGTACTTATGTATATATGAAGTGTATGTGATCTAATGCTAGCACAGTCAATGTTTACGACTCTGAACTGAAGTTTATATCTCAACATAATATAGATTTAATATTTTCAAAGAAAAAAATGATATATAACAATAAAAACAAACAAATTTATTTATAAATTATGTCATAAGCCTGTGCACTGGTTGGTAATGGTGGAAGCGGCTTTCCAAGAGCTGATTGAGAAGTATGAGCAGTATAAGACTTTAATTTCTTTGATCTTAAGTAGCTTTCAGGTTCTGTGTCTGGTTGTATCTGAACTGGCTGTTTTGTGTTAATGTGATTCAGTTTTTCCTTCATTTGATTTATTGAACTTTTCATTTTTTCAAGAATTCTATCAATTGTAGACAAATCAGCTTTCTTATCCATAAGAGTTGTTATTTCCTTCTTAAATTCATTAGTTTGAGATACTTCTGTCTCTAATCTTGAAACTAAATCTGAAAATTTTTGGTTCATTTCTATTTCAAAAGCAGCTCTGTCATCGGTTTCGACTTCTACCTCCTTCCCTATGTTCAGTGTTGGTATTGAAATCGTATGTTTCTCAGTTGGTTCAAGAGTTATGTCACTTGACTTTGCCAAAAATTTTGTTTGATCGTCAATAAGTTTTTGAAAGCCAGATCCGGCTCTTCCTAATGAATTTATGATGTCTGTGAAGCCCATTTTTGTTGTTGACTTATTTTTTGTCAGTTCTTCTGTTTCTACAAGGCGATCGTTAAGGTCATTGAGTGCTGTAGCTGTTGCTTTAAACGAAGCATTAGAAGTCTCCAAAAAAGCGTCAATTTTAGATTTTAATTTCAGAATATCGTGAATTGAGTTCTTTAAACAGCTTGGTATTTGTTCTTTCGTTAGGTTAAGATCGTTATTAAGTAAAGCAACCTCTTTCGATAAGTCTATTAAGCATCTATGAATTCCATTGAAAAATTTCGATTGATCGTCACAAGCGTTTTGAGTAGCAATGAAAGATTGGTTTAGTAAGTCAACACGTCGATCATTCCGTTGTATAGTGTGAATAATCATTGAAGCATCTAAAGGATCTTTTAATTCTAATTGTATTAAACTATCTGCTGCTATTTTACCTTGTATATCGATTATCTTTTCTCCTAAGTCTTTCATTTTATTGTCATTCAATGTTCTGTCGGCTGAAATTTGATTTAAAGCTTCTGTAATTTTTCCGTCGATTTGTTTGATGTCTGCTTCTGTCTTCTGTTTGATATTCTCAATGATGAGTTCTAAACCGTCAATACGTTTTATTAATGCATCTTCTGATTTATCTTCCAATTTTTTAAGTCTTTGTTCAATTGTAGTGAAATTATTTTGGTATTCATCTATTTTATCAAATATGTATCGCGAATTTTTTGATAAATCGTTAATTCTTTGACCTTGAATTCCTAAATTTTGTTCATTTGTAATAAATCTCTCAGTAAAAGTAGTTTCTAGTTTCTTTATTTCGACATTTGTTGCGTTATTTTTGGTTTCTATAGTTTCTGAAATGTATTTATTTAAATTCTCGATTGATTCTGAAATTTTTGAAGAAGATTTATCAATTAAATCACGAACAAAAGCTTCATTGAATGTAGATAGTGAATTGTTTATTTTTTCAATATCATGTATCTCAGCTTTTGTCTTAACGACATTTTCAAGATTGTTTATTTGCTGTTCTTGATGGGAAACCATATCAACAATTTGGTCAAGAATAGACTTTAGCTGGTCAGAATAAAGATTAACATTGATTATAGATTCATTTTGTTCTAGAAGACTGGAGATTTTATGAAGAGACATCAATACAAATTTTTGTCAAATAAAAATACGTTATTCATGAAAATTTATATTGATTGCAAATTAATAAGGCGAATAGATGTACCTATAACTATAGAATCATTTTTATAAAGTAAAAATGTTAGAATGATATTCTGACAAAATTTTATTTTATAAAATCATGAAAATTCATAATGTTTATGTATATTTTGAAACAAAAGCAAAAATATAATCCATACATAGATTTAAATTTTTTACATTTTATAATGAAATCAACAAAAATCACTTTTGCAGATTAATTTTTTATATATATTCGTAAAAATTTTTGATTATGATTTTTTTTAAATTGACGTTTTTATTAGTTTTTTAGATCCTTCTCATGTGTAAGATAATGATCAATTCAGTTTCCTTTACAAATATAAAAAGTTATTGTATCATTGATAAACAAATTTGACTCAACAACATAATTGATCTAAAAACAAACTATATAAACGAATTATTTAATTTTTATACAAGAATCTATATGTTTACTTTACTACATGGTTATAAATACATTCAAATAAGTACCTATTAATGGTAACAGTCGGAAATCATTCTTATAACAAACAGTGCAGGCATTATTCAATAGTGAAACTCGCATGTGATTTAATTCTGGAGTCGATTTAATAATTTTAGCACGAATTTCATTTGTTGTGACTTTTATGTTAACTTGATCTGTGTACGGAGATTGCAAAAAGCATTTATTAATTACTGTAAGCTTCTGGGAGAGTATTACAATGTTTCGCGGTTCTGTACAAATGCCAAAAATCTGAGCTCCAATATGGACAACTGAAGCAGGTAAAATTATGTCTGTTAAGGATATGCAATACCAAAAAGCTAGTCCTCCTAAATATTCAAATTTTGAATCTATTGGGAAAATTACACTTGTTAAATGAATGCATGATGCAAAAACACCACCATGACGAACAGTGCAATCTGCAATCTTGTTAAGAGATTTTGGGAAGTAAATTTTCTTCAGTGAACTACAAAGATCGAAAACACCTTGATCAATAAAAGTCAAATTTGGAGGAAATCTTACATCTTCGAGTATGTAACACTCTCGAAAGCACCATTGAGGCAAAATAGTTAATTGAGACAGTTGGAAAAATCAACGAATGTAAATAACGATTGACGAAATGCATTATTTTCTAGAATGGATAATGAACTATTGGATTCAAATATTAATCTTCCTCGTTGCTTGAAACTTGAATTAGAATTTACTTTTATAACATTGGATGGGATTAATATATCAACGTTAGTGGATGATGTAATTGCAATGATAGTAGTATTGCTTTCATTGAGATATTGGATACTCATTGAGTCATCGATGTATTCATAATGTATTCATAATTTTTGACATATTTTCAATTTTTGAGGTCATATTTGAATTTTAAACCACCAATTTAGATACTTCATATTTCATTGATTAAAAACAATTTAATATTCTAAGGTTTATTCAATTTTTTTCAATGCTTCCAAATTTTTTCACCTCAAGTAAAATTTCATGGTTTTAATTGCATACAACTCGAGTGATGAACTTAACGGTCTATTATCATACATTGGAACTTTAGGTAGTGACAAATCAGAATATCTTCAATATGAATCTGTCGAAGGCCAAGATCCAGAACAATTATTTTACTTTATCAGTGGCAATTCATATGCTACTACACGCGAATCCCTCCCAGAATATTATGTTGGACTTTATCTGAAAAAACATGTATTTGGTTTAAGCTCATTTACTATTAAGACAGCTTTTCACCCACAAAATTCAACAAATCATCCATTAACATGGAAAATTATTGGATCCATTGATGAAAAAAATTGGAATATTTTAGATTCACATATAAATGATTCAGTTCTTAATGTCCAATTTAGGTCAGTTCATTTTGAAGCTCAGGAATATGCTGTGAGACATATTAGATTTGTATCAGCTACATCTTTTTCACTAAGATCTTTAGAATTCTTCGGAAATTTGTATCCAAACAACATAATATTCCCTTTCTGTCAGATAAATAATATTTGTAACATGTTTTCAACATTTGGACACTTTATTGCTGTTTTCATATTAATGTAATTTCAGTAATCTTCCATTGTTATAAGAATAAACTATTTTCATTTTTATACTTATAGAATTATTCGTTATGATTTGATTGTATAGAAAGTTAATTGTTTATGAATCAAATATCATGAGCTCAGACCTAGGGTTATCAAAATTTTTAAAGAAGCTCTAGCTGAAAATATACAATTGGCATGAAAAATGAGTTCATCTTAATATTCATACAAATTTCATTCCGTGTAAACTTTATTTGAAAATCACCAGGATGATAAATCCTGGTGATGATACTTTATAAAACAATGCAGTTATACTCAGTAAATGATATCTTCCATTGCAAAAGAATACATTTTAAATGATATTGATAGTGAACATTATTCAATTAGATCCGAAATTGTTGACGAATTTCATAATCCCAAAAATCCATCAAATGCAGATCTCCATGCAAAAAATTGCATTATCAACGAGTTTTCGAGTAAAAATGACTTCATCATCAATGCCTATAACCCTAATCTTGAAACTTGCTCATTTTCATATGAAATTCAAATTAAAATTGACAATAACATATATAATACTTCTCATAATAATGCCATTCTTACAATATTTAACCAAACTTTTACGAAAGTTATTACAATTAACGACGAAAACGCATATTTTAAAGAAGAATTCGATATAATTTATATTAAAATGAACCAACAAAGCATTTTATCTCAACAATCAAAAAACTTTTCGCTGATTAATTCAATTCAAAATTATAAAAAAGATGAAAATATACAAGTAATCATTTCAAATCATAGTTTTCTACGAGTTAATGACATTGATGTTATTAAAATCGAAGGATTCATAAAAAATACACAAAATTTGGATCATTTGATTGAATTACATTTTTGGAGCGAATCAAACAATATAAATGAAAATGTTTTTAATTCTCAATATATTGCTATTAATCCTTCCAATGAATTTTCCCATTTTATTCAAATTGAACCAGAGTTTAGAGATCATTCATATTTTTTTTCAATGTTTAGATCATAAAAATAGAATTTATAGTAACAAGACACTTTCTTTATTCATTAATTCAAAAATATCTAATATAAACAGAGATTTACGTGGCCTTCCACCCCTCCCTAGTATTCGCTTAACATATGATCATAAAGTTCCACATGGCACTAAATATTTAAAAGTCAACGGAACTGTAACTGCATCAGGTTATGAAGGTCGAGAAATAATTTATTACCAGGAAAGACTTTCAGTAAGTGAAGAAATTGTCATTTATAATGAAACTTTTTCAGAAGTGGCAACATTTTCTTTTAATATCTCAATTGCTGAACACAATATTGGTAAATATACATTTGGTGTTATATGGAGCAATCAAGACGATTCAATTGGGCAGCTTTTTAGATTTGAGATTATCAGATCTGTTCGTATTCTTTCAAATTCTACTACTTCTAATATTTTTGTAAATGGAGATGATACAAAAATACCACTGAAAGTAACATTTAATTATACAGCAAATAAATCATTTTTATTTAATTATACAATTGGTTCATTACCATATCAATCATTAAATATTACATTATCAGAAGAAGTACAAGAAAAGAAATTATTAATTGATATTCCAGATCTTTCAAAAGGAACTCATTATCTCAAAATCAAAGATGATATTGATGAATATTCTCTTCCATTTATTATGATTGAAGGTTGTCCTCCAGAGATACAATACACAGAAACAACATCACAAGAAAATCCAAACAAACACATAAAAGGAATTAAAATAGGAAAAATTTATTTCAACTATTATTTTGTTTTATTTCAGACGATTTCAACTTTTGTAACAGATCTTTTAAATACCAATTGGATTCCATATTCAAATACAATAAATATCCAAGGTTTAACAGTTTCTGATTCCGAAGTTCATACATTATCCATTTTTCTTTCAGATGAATCAGGATTTAAATCAAATGTTATCAAATACTATTTTAGATATGTTCAAAATAAGCCTTTAATAAGTTCTCTCGCATTTCAAAAAACAACATACACGTATCAAATAGATAAAGAATAATTTCACTCTCTCAGAAGGAAATCACATAATTACATTTAGGGTAGTTGATTCATTCAATAAAAGTCTTCAATTAGATCCTTATACATTCATATATCATTACCACTCTCCAAAAATCCAGCTTATCGATTCATTTAATGAAAGTAATCTTCCAATTTATATTAGGAGTTATAATGGAACAATCAAAATTCCAATATTTGTGACTTATTTTTATGAAGTAGATTACGTTACGATAAATTATGCAATTGAAAATACTGATTTTACACAAACAACTCAGTTAGAAATGAACAATGAAATAGGCAAAGTAGCTAAAATCCAATTTGAACTCCCTAATGAATATGAAGAAAAGACTTATACTGTAAAAATTTCAGCAACTGATCATAGCCATACCAAGAATTCAAATGAAATATTTTATTCGTTTAATTATTCATATGATATCCATTTCAATCACAATAGAGTTGAATTCACCTTTTCTTGTCGATTTCCAATCCTTGCGTCAACATATCTTACGCAATTTCTTGTTGGAACAAGACATCGCTCTGCGGCACGGCAATCCTAGCATCTGTTAATAAAAAATTATGTTTTTATTTTTTTCCTATAATAAGTACGGGCGTGAATTTTTCGATACAGGTCTGACTTTTTATGACACATGATCTTGATTTCGCAAATATGAGAAAACATCCAATTAACATACATGTTTAACATAGTTCGATGTGTTTTTTTCTCATAGATAAGGTTCGTGAATTACGAAAGTATTTTATTCTATAATATTATATATGCCATATTATGATATGCGCCATACTTATTAGTTTCATATCATTCTGGCTTAAGAATGTTAATGTATTTCAAATATTTTTCTCATGAATTCAGAATGAACCTTCACATTCAGCATCAACCAATACAGTTGTGATAATGCAGGCATATCCAATGAGTCAATTTGGTTATCATGCCTCCAATAAGATTCTTCTGCAAAAGACTTACGTTAAGGGAGGCTTCCGACCAGAAAGCCCTCTCAATTTTTTGTGATGTTTACACCAAAAGTGAGATTCGTTAAGCGTTTTTCTCGTTGAATATTGAGTTTCCCGGATTTTAAGTTATTCATAAAGCTTCTCTATATTATACCCTATCTACTGATATGATTATTTTTGAAAAATCTCTTAAATCGACCTGCACTGAATTTTTTAGGGAAAATTCGAGATTTTATAAGCGTTTTCTGTAACGTTTTTTCACGGAATAAAATCCGAAAAATAATTTTTTGAAGAATCATTTGGGTAGAATACTTATCAAAAATTATATTTATTATAATTTTGGTCGATAAAAATAAGCGGATTCAAAACTGGCAAAAACCCTTTCGGCAATTTGTGGACGATTCCGAACCCCCTCATTTTTGGAATTTAATAAGAAAAATAGAATCTTTATTAAATATAGATTTTAAAAAACTTGGTTATAAATTACGAAATTTTCTCACTTGGGCCAAAAAGTGACAATTTGGTCGGAAGCCACCCTTAAAGTGAAAAGGAAATTCTGATGGTTGTAAATATTTTTATTTTCTAAAAAGAAACCATCTTTTATTTTTGACTAAAGCGCAATGGAATAAATTTGAATAAAAATTTTTGAATTTGAAATTTTCAATAAAATCGAATTTGGAGAGGCTAGGGATGGAAAATGCAGAACCAATAGATACAGCATTAACCTCTCTGGCTCCAAATTTTATTTCGACAGTAATTCAGACACTTTCATCGTTCTTGGAATCAAATTTCGACAATTCGGCCGAAATTTGTACTTTTTTACAAGAAATCCAAGGGAATTTTGTCAAATTACTAAATATAGACAACCTTTACGATGATACTAATCAACAACTCTCCGAATTTATCGAAATTTATCTAAAATTATTCATAAAATCATGTACAATGTCGAATTCTACAGTATCGAAAGAGTTTTCATTAATCATAGAACTACGAAACAGCCGATATTTGTTTCGAAATCTCTCTTTCGTCGAAAATATTTTTTCACAAATCACAGAAGAATCATTTCAAACTATATTATCATTCGCCACCAATCCGAAACTACCAGCCGACTTAAATACGATCGAAATTATTATTTATTTCACTAGATTTGTTTTAGATTTTTCTCAAATTAAAGTTGAGAGTAAGGATATTGTCAGCATTTTGGAAAGCTTTATCCGATATCTGTTACAACTCAACGATCTTACCGAAAAAACTTTTCAACGAATCTCTCAATGTTATTCGATTTTATCGACATTCAAGCATGTTAGCAAATTTTTCGATATGCAATACATCCTGTCTCAAGTATTCCTCAAGAACAAGCTCTATTACAAAGATAGTTTCTCGTTAATGTTAAAATTTATCTCGAAAGTCAAACATCCAGACATAATCAAAGGCTGTGCTACAAGACTATCCAAAGTTATAACGAATCTGAGCGAAGAAGACTGTACATTGTTTTATTTACTTATAAAAGAGATATATGAGAACGGAACAGACGTTTTACCTATTATCAAACTCTTATGGCGAGTCATAGAAGTCCAATTCAACGAAAAAATGAAAGAAATTTACATCAAAAAATTAGAAATTTTATTTTACGATCCAAATCTTCTCAATGACATTGTCAATTACATTGTTACACAAGATTATCTTCCTCATTTATTCTTTGAAGTTCTTCGCTCACAATTTTTTGAATCATTGACAAATTTCACCAAAACATCCATTTTTAACACATTATTTCATATCGGAGACATTGATTTCATATTAGATTATGTAGAATACTGCAATATTACTAACATGAAAGAGATAATCATTTCTCATCTCGAACAAAACGATAATTCTTCCTGTTGTTTATTACTTTTTCCATATTTTTATCCAGAAGGCATCAAAAAACACTCTGATCTTATTCTTTCACGTGTTTCTGATCCAAAACACCTTTCAATTCTTTTAGAATCATTTAACCTTAAAAGTGTAAATTTTCATTTTCAACAGATCTTTAACAAATCGATTGTTTTACAAGTATTAGATGTTGTTTCATCATTTAATGGAAATTCTCTTGATTCCGTTGTTGATTTTTGGGAAAAATTTTTCGAAAAAGAACAATTTCTTAAAACACAAAAAGAACAAGTCATTCAATCAATTTTAAACAACAAAAAACAAACAAGTAAATCAATTAGATTCATTCTTAAATATTCCAATGATTTTTCACTTGACATTTTATCATCAATTGAATTAAACAAACAAATCATCGAAATCATCATTTTAGAAAGTAAAAAATCAACAACAGACATCATTGATTTCTTTTTCAAACCGAAAACATATGATATCATTTTATTAATTCTCCGTGTTTTCGAAGAATACGACACAACAAACAAATGCTATTTTATTTTCCCAGGAAATTCTCAAGAAATCACTTTCGAATGTGATTTAAATCTCAAAAAATTTTTCAGAAAAAACTGTTTGGAAAAAGATTTTGAACTTTTTGTTAATAATTTTCTTGGCTATGAATCTAAAATAGAACTAAAATATGATAAAACATATAATGTCACTAAAACAGATTTGGTTTTTGAAAGAAAAGAAAATTTAATTTCTAATTTTGTTTCATGTAACAAATATTCAAATATTTTCATTAGTTATTTATCACAGAACAATGAATTATCAAAGGTTTCATATAAAATACTTACAAGATTAAAGTTACATTCATCACAAAGTTACTTAATTTTGACATGTAACGAATACAACATTTTATTCCCAGAAGAAAGTAAATATCTTTGTAAATTGAGATTACATTGTATAGGAATTGTAACAAGTAATCAATCATTAGCTGTTAAATTTGTTAATATCCACAATTACGACAATCTTCTGAGATATTCCGTTAAAAGCAAATCATCACTTGGTTTATATCTTTGTTTGAAATTGTTTGATATATTGGATGGTTTCAACCAACAATCAATTTCTCTTATTTTCTATGAAAAATGTATTTCTGTTTTAGATATTGAAAACAAAAGTGAAGTCAACGAAAACACTTTGAAACTAATTGAAAAGATGACTCCTGAGAAATATTTTGTTGGTCATTTTAACACATTTTTTGTCCTTTGCATGCAGAAATCGAAATATTTAGAGATATTTCTTAAAATCATGGAGAAGTCGAAACTTGAAGATTACAAAGAAATTGTTTTAGAAAATTTGAAAAAATTTGATTTCAATTTTTCATTGTTTTCATTTTTGGTTTCACAAAATGATATTGAAATCAATGATATTATTATTGACATTGTTTTATCTTCAAAACATGATGGAACAGAAAATTTGAAACTTATTGACAAAATTCAAAATTGTTTTATTTCAAGAAAATTATTTAACAATTTGCTTGAATTTCATATCTTTTCATTGACAGAATACAGACAATTTGATTCTCTTTCGAAAGGTGTTTTGTTAAAGATATTTCAACAATTTCCTGAATATGTTGTTGAAATGAAAAAATACTTTGATTTAATTTACAAAAATCATTCTAATTTTTGTTGTTTTGAAGAAACAAATGAATTTTACAAGAATTTTCTTTTGTTTTTTAACAAAATGGTTGATATGATTGATTTTATCTTGTGTTCAGACTTTAATCCATCAAATGAAATTCAAATTCAATTATCAGATTCAATCTTTATTTTGAAAGAAATATTTTGTCCATTTTACACAGGAAATGAAGATTTTCAAACATTGAAATCAATTTTGAGTTTCATTACAACAATAAGTCATCGATTTTCTACATTAGATTTCATTCTTTTGTCGAGCCAAGATAAAAACAGATCCAACAATTTTTTGTTCGATACAATCATTTCTTTGTCAGAAGTCAATGACAACAGTTTGAACAGTTATTTCATCAACCATGTCAATTGCAAAGTTTTGTTTAATTTTCCGGAATTTTTGTTGATTTCTATTCGAAAAAACGAAAAAATTGTTGATAAAGTACATTTACAAGGTGTTGAATATGAATATGTTAGTAGTTTATCTCTTAATGATTGCACATTGTTGTTATACGAAAGCAAAATCATCAGAACAAATGTTTTTCCAGTTCAAATTTCTATTTTGTATGAAAACTATTCGAAAACGAAATTTTTACAAAAATATTATGAAAGTTTTTTGATGAATGACGAATTTAATGACTTCATTGAACAAATGTTAGATATTAACAAAACATTTTTATTTGATTTTTTCTGTTTTTATTTAGAACAAAGTGATTTTAGATTTTATGAAAATATGAAATCAAATTTTCGATTTATTGATTCGAAAAATATTTTGGAATTAGACAAAATCAACAAATTCATGTTAAATGATGACTACGAGATCCGTAAGAGTTATTCAGAAGTTGTTAATTTATTCTTAGATAACAATGAATTTGATTTCGAACAATTGAAAAATCTTTTTATTGAAAATTCATTTTTATTCCTTGAAAAAGGTGAAAATTGGGATTTTTTATGTGAAATTTTACTTCGAAACATTGACAAGAAAAGCATTGATTTATCTAAGAAAGTTTTATTTCAAGACCTCAAAGAAATTGATAATGAACAAATATACGAAAATGTTGATTTCGAGACATTTGTTTTTATCTTGACAAACGAAGAAAATCTTGAAGAATTTACAACAGAAGAAAATTTGAAAATTTTGTTTTCACTTCGAAATGTCAAAAGTTTAACAAAAATCATAACAAAATTTGACATTGATAAATTGAAAACATTCATTAATAACTATTACGAAAACACAGATTACTTAGGAACATTGTATTTGAGTATTGTTGATCATTTTGAGTTTATTTTTGAAGTTTGCAAACTAGAGAATTTTGTTTTTAGCGATAACACGAAAATTGTTTCATTTTTCAATGAAATTCGTGTTCATCCATCTATTTCATCATCAACGAACCATTTCATTGAGAGTTTCCCACATTTCTGTCTTAAGTTCATGTTTAATTCCGAGAAAAATATCAGAGAATCATTCAGAGATTTGATCACAACAATTGTTAATTTCTCGAGTAATTTCGAAGCAAAAACATTTTTGTTGAATCTCATGAATATGTTACCAAGTTTAGAACAGAAACTTCAAATTATCAACAAAGACGACAACTGTGTTTCTACAGAGTATTTCTGGTTATTGACAAATATCTGTCGGAAAGGTGATTTATATTATTTTGTTGATGAAAACTCATTGTCATTTCTTATGTCCGTTCAAAACATTTCACGAATGAAGTTAGAAACAGAACGTCCTCTTTTCGACATCATCCATTTCATTGCGGAATGCAACAACGGAGATTTTTTTAAGTTCATCGGTTTCATGTCAATGACAGAGCACTTACAGAACATCAAATCCAAGTTCATCATTTTAGATTTGATGCGTCTTTGTCCTAAGAACGAAATTGATGTTTTCATGAATTCTAGTTTTTCGAAAGACATTTTCAAAATTTGTTTTTTGTCAGAATTTGATGATTTCATTTCACATTTCTTTCTTATGCACATTGATAATTTAGACATGATCCAAGTTTGCCAAGACATGTGGTCATGCAGTGAAGAATGCATCAAACGCGAAAGTTTTTCATTTTGTTTCATTAGTAAGAAGATTTTAGAAACTAACATTGAAACATCCAATTTTTTCAAAACAATGAAACTAGATTTTCTTTTGATTGATAGTTTATGTGTTAGTGAGAATGAAGAATACATCAACAGTGTTGTTGATTTGTTGATTGTCTATTTCAACACATATCATGATAAGATGAATATCGACATCATCACACTTCTTGACAAATCAACACGATATCCAAACATCATCAATCTTCTTATCATCATCATTTGTCACATTGACATTTCTAGTGTCAACAACATTTTATCATATTTGATGACACAGTTTGGTCGGTTCATCAGTGTTGACAGCAACTCAACACTTTCATTGATGAAGAAGTGCATTGATCTTTGTGATGACTGTGAATTGTTGTTGAACAACGCAGTTCTTTGTGTCACATTCTTGATTAACAGCGGAAATGTTTTCGAAGCAGTTTGCATTGTTGAACTTGTTTGTAGCAAGAATGTCGACACATGTGCTAAAGATGCTAAAACAGTCTTAGCATCAATGATCAACATCACATTGTGCTGTAATACATCACCAGTTGGCGACAGTGTTTTGAAGAAGATTCCATTTCTTTGTCGTCGTATGCTTGAAGTTCATCGATGGTATGATAACATCGGATATCAAATTTCACAGACTAGTGGTAATGCAGAACTTGATCTTTACATCATCAAACAGTGGCTTCTTTTCAGTGACAAAATCAGAAGCTACACAGGAATTCCATTTCCAAAACTTAATCTTGATCAAGAAAAGTTCACATACATCAGATCTCTTCTCCAAAACGATGAATCAACTAACAATAGCAACAACAGCAACAATAACAATGACCATGTTGATAATCAGAACTATGAACAAATTGCAATGATTGTTCTTCTTAATGAACTATTTTCTAGAAATTAATTTTTATTTTTATTTTTTATTTATATTTCTTTTAATTGTTTTATTATGTTTTAAATATTTGTTTTTTATTTTCTTTAATATTTGCCACACAAATAATTATATAAATGTGATAAATCAACCAATATTGTTTTTATTAGGTTATTAGTAATGTGACTACTTCAGTAGGAATCATCTTCTTCATTAGCTCTAAGAGTTTCTGCTACCTTTCTTCCAGCCTTATTTATTTTTAATAAATAATCATAAACCCCCTCAAAAGAACTCTTTAATTCTTTGAAATCTTCAATATATTTTTGAAGGGTCTTCATATCAGCTTGAAGACCACCAACAGTTGCTTGAAGGTTGGTAATATCACCTTTCATGGTACTGATATCGTTTTTGATACTCTGGATATCATTAACATTGGATGTCATAAAAATTAATAATAAAATTGAATAGTTCAGAAATTTATAATCATTATTACAACATGTTTTGGAATTGAATACTTGGTTAGAAATTTATTATGTATAAAACATTAAAAAAATGTTGTAATTATACTTACAACATTTTTGAATGATTAAAGGGTAGGTATTTGAGAAAATATATAATATATCCTAGGAAAAAATATCCTCAGAGAGCAATCAAAATCGATTTAAAAAGTGAAAATTTATTACGATTTTTCTGTCTTTCTGAATGAGCCGGTTTTCCAAATATACACTTTATAATTTTAATAAGAGCATGTATAACTATTCTATTCATCAACATCAGGCTAATGCAGAGCCTGAAATCCAAAATAGAATTGTTTCCAACGAAATACTTGCATATCTTTATGATCATTTAGACAAATACGGAAAAATCGATTTTGTACTTGATGAAGTGCAAATCGATACGGTTCTATTGAATCTTAATGGAGAATCTTCCGATTTATTTCATGAAATTTCTGAAATTGCGAAAAATGATAATAGGATCTTAGAAAGGACAATAATAAATCAACAATATATCACTATTGATGACCAATCTTATATTTTTGCTAAATCAATTAAATTTATCAACGAAGAATACTTAGATTACATACAATTTATGTTAAATTCTAATTCAGAAACAGCAATTATTAATACAATTATATGTATAACAGAATTGTTCGCTCAATCAAAATCTTCAATGAGTTGAATTGAAAAATTGATTTATCAGAACTTTAACATAGTTAAAACAGTCAAATATGAACATTTAATCGTCTCAATATTCAGATTTATTAGTCAAACATGTTTTGAAAGATATTCTGAGGATATCAAAGAATATATCAGAGATCATTTATATTTCAGCGATGAAACAATTTATTTTGGTTCATTGATTTCCATGCAGGCGGGTTATAAATGGAAACAGCTCGGAATTGAACTTCTAAATTTTCATTTAAACCTTGATAATGCATGTTTTCGCGTTAAGGTCGGATCATTGTGCATATTCAACATATTTCTGTGCGAGTGTAGAGAAGAAAGTCAATTCAAGAAAATTTTCGAAATTTGTGCAGAGTTGCTTGAATCTACAGAATACTGCAAATTTTCGATGTTGCTTATCAAATCATTGATAATTATCAACCGCATTTCTATTGAAGAACTCAAGAGTTGCGAGGATTCCCTAATGGAAATCCTCGAATGTGACAGCACCGATGATTGTTCTTACAATTTAGCCGAAGAGCTATTAACATTCATTGATAAGATAGGAGAATAAACTTTTTTTAATTGCTAACGTCTATTTTGGAATTTTTTATTTTTGATTTTGCCCTTTGAAAATATTGCAATTTCATAACTATTATAATTTGTAATACTAATCCTTATGCCACAGTACTTTTAGAGCAGATTTTCCAAGTTCCTCAAAATCATTGATGATCTTGACAGACCTGATCTATGATGTACTTGTGTTTAACTCTGCTATATCAATTCAAGCATTTAAACTTTAATCAATGATAATTTCGATTATATGAATTATAGGTGTAAAGCTTTCAATTCTGGAAGTTTTTGACGTTCCGATTCTGATAAAATTTCCGAAATCCAGATTTTATTATTTTATAAATATATCATATAATATCAACATTTTTGTTCCGAAAACCTAAAAGTGAAATGATTTTTTAAAATAAAATGTCTTTCTCCAGAGATCAATTTCCAGAATCTTTTACTAAGGCAGTCGCTATAAACAAAAAGGTATGGAATGTTAAAGCTGATACAGTCCAAGAAACTGTTTCATTGCTGAAAGATTCAATTTCAAGTTCTCTTTTCAACATTAAAACAGTTATTGATATGATAATCTTTATATATCAGAAGAGAAGTGAAAATATAGAATCTTACCTTACTTTACTACTCGAAATTATCAAAGTTTTTGATATCAATAACATTCAATCATATTTTACGCTTCAAACACCATTGAAATCTATTTTAGTCAGAAGGAAAATCTTATCAGGCAAAGAAGCCCCTGCAAATGCTAATAAAACAGAAGAAGTTTTAATTGCAAACGCAAAAAAAGCAGCTGTTAAACCTACTTTAACAAATCTTGAGAAATGCATTGAATTCAACTGGAAAGAAGGTATAAATTCATTCAAATCAAAGAATAATTTTAATTATTCATGGGTTAATTGTGTTTTCAACATTGATGCGTTTCTTGAAAAACTTTGTCACATTGATGATGTGAATAAATCAGATAACCAATCATGGAGTCCTCTTTCTATTGCTTGCAAAGGTGGATATACATTTATTATTGAATTTTTGTTGAAGAACGGAGCAGATGTCTATATAAATTACCATTTAACTGCATATTAGATAATAATTCTTTCTCTCTTTCTATTCTCATACAAAACAATGTTGATTTAACAACAGTTATTTCAAATGACGAAAACTTACTTATCTTTGCAGTGAAGAATAACTCTATTGAATGTTTGAAGTTATTATTAGAAACTAATATTGACATAAACATGAAAGATAAAAGTAATAAAACGGCATTCAATTATTGTTGTGAACTTGGAAAAAATGACATGGCCAAATTATTTATTTCTAAACAATGTGACATGACAAATAATTTTCCATTAGATACATTGATAACTAAGAAGAATTATGAACTTATTGAATGCATGTTAAAGAATGGATTTGATGGAAACATTGTTGGAAAAATGAATAAAACATATCTTCAAGTTGCAGTTTCAAACAAAGATCTGAAACTTGCAACAATTCTTGTCGATAATGGTGCTGAAGTAGAAAAATCTACTCAACACTTCACATCACCATTAAATATGGCAATTGATCAAAAGAATGTTGAAATGGCAAAATTCCTTATGGATCATGTCAAAGACATCAGTATTGCAGATTCAAAAGGTTACACGGCATTAAATGCAATTGAAAAGTCTAAGAACCAAGAATTAATTAAATATTATGAAGAAAAATTTGGTCAAATTAATTCTCAAAAACCAACACCATCACAACAAAAAGTGACACAACCAACTGCTTCATCACGTGTTGAATTACCTAAATCACAACAAAAAGCACCAGTTGCAAACGCTAAAATACAAGAAGATAATGTTGATAATTCAATTGATGAAATTCTTGGTAAATTACCAGAAAATATGAAGAAAGCAACAATTACTAATGAATCAATTTGAAATTTCAGTGAAAAAGAAAACATTAATGAAGTTATGGCAGAAATTGATTCATCAATTTCATCTAAGATATTCTCTCCTATTTCAATTGCACTCCAAATTTGTTACATTGCAAACAGAAGATTATCAAAATTGGATTCCTACAAACAATTATTTGTTACATTTATCACAAAATACAACATTTTGTCGAATGATTATTTCGATTCTCATATTGACAAAGATCTTCGACAATTCACTAAAACATCTGATGCCGAAATCGCGAATCATTATCATATGATCAAAGAAATGAATTATTGGAGACAGAAGAAATATTTCAAGTATCATTACGAAAACACTGTTTGTAATGTCAGATCATTACTTGACAAATACATCAATTTTGGATATGATGAAAATGATTCACCACTCATTGCTGCAGCTAGAATGATGATGTTAGAAGTTATGAAATTTGTCAAAAGTGACAGATCTGTTAATTCAAATGAATCATATATTCTTTCTCGCATTGCAATCGATTTTAATGACAAAGAAATGCTTACTCTTCTTAATGAATGGGGCATTTCACCACAAGTTTCTGAACGAGAATTAACAAACAACCAAGATTTGTTTGAAAATATCTTAGAATTCGTTCAATCAGATAAACTGAAACCATCTGTTGAAAAACAAATCGTTGATCACAATTTCGACAAAGTGCGTGAGATAATGAAAGGTCGAGAAGAAGATAGATTGGAATTACTTTCAGAACCATTGAGATATTGTATGTCAGAAAATGACTTGGAAAGTGTTGATTTCATTTTGTCAAATTACCTGAAAGTTTACGAAAAACTTCCATCATTCAATTTCTCTGCTGTTTATTTATCATTGAACTGGCATTATGATGAAATATTCATTCATCTTCTCAAAACATATAAGGATATTAACTTTGATGAAGTTTATGATGACAAACCACTCTTCTTTGAAGCAATGAGTAATTCTCATTCCGACAATACCATTCTTTACATTATAAATGGTATTAAAAATATCAATGCTTCTTATTATGATACAACAATTCTCCAGAGACTTGCTGATCATGCATCAAATTATCCAAAATCACTTAGAAGACTTGTTGAAAGAGGTTGCGATGTCAATTTGTCAACAAAATCATCTTTACCACCATTATTACTAGCTGCACAACGCGATTATGAGACAGCAGTTTTCCTTCTAAAGAATGGGGCAAACTTCAATAGTGTCAAAACAGCAGATGAAAATATTAGAAACCAAGCCGAATGTTACATTGAAGATTTAATTGATGATCTCTTTAAACATCATGAATTTGATTTGATCAAGAATATTGTTGATGCCAACGACAAGTCAAAATATAAACTGATGATAAAACAGATTGCGAAATCATTCGACAGAGAAGATTTAGCTGAAGTTGATTTCATTTTGCAAAATTACATCAAGTCTAATGAAAAAGTTTCTGAAACTAATTCGACAGTATTTGCATTTGCTATTTACAATAAAGCACACAAATCTGTCTGGCATATTATGAACAATTCTGAAATTGATTATGACGAAATTGTCGAAGATTATCCATTAATTTTCTACGCTGTTGAGAACAAAACAACAGATGATGTTGTTCTTAAAATGGTCAATCAATTGAAAGATGTCAGTCTTGTCAGTCACAACCTATCCATTATTCAGGAATTAGCGAAGAATGCTCCATATTATGACAAATCATTTAAGAGATTGATTGAAAGAGGTGCAGATTTCAGAAAAATCCCACCAAATTCAACACCAACAGTTTTATTGTCTGCACAAAATGACTATGATACAACTATGTTTTTGCTTGAAAAAGGTGCTGATTTCAACAGTCTTGATGTCAATGGTGATAATATTCTTATGTGTTCATTAATGTGTCCAGGAGACAAGATGTGGAAATATGTTGTTGAAAAAGGTGTAATTGATTCTCCAAAATCGAATATTTACAAACCAATACATATTGCAGCTATGCATCGAAAATGCGAAGCAATCAAATTCTTTGTTTCTAAAGGAGAAGCAGTTGATGTCAGAAACCAAGATGGAATAACACCATTAATGGTTGCTTCTGATACATATGTTGTAGATACGCTTCTTGGACTTGGTGCCGAAATCAATGGAGTATCTAAAGACGGAAGGACAGCAATGCACTACGCATTCATCAAAAGGAACCATATTGTTGCAATGTATCTAATTCAGAAGAACGCGCGACATGACATTCGAGACATTTACGGTAAGACAGCTCTTGATTATGGTGATGGCTGGGAATTTTTAGTTGAATTTGCTAAATTAAAAAAAAAAAAAAAAAAAGGTAGTGGGGCTTCCAGGGGCTGCGCCCCTTCTAGCCCTGAAGATGTTTAGTATAAATGAAGTTTATATTTGGAGGGCTTCCAGGCGCGTTGCGCCCTCTAGCCCATAAGAAATTTTTCCCAAGACCCAAGAGGAGGACCGAACCCCAGCCGACCAGCCGGTGACACTTTTTGTGTCGCTTTTCACAAATTATATATGTTTTCATGTTTTGTCACTTTTCTGTCACTTTTCAGGTAAAAACATTTTTATTATTATATATAAATGAATTTTACAAAACCTCCGTTACCGTTCTTTGGAAATAAGAGTAGATGTAAAGATATTATATTGAGAGAACTTAAGAAACTACCGAATGGTCTAACATTTGTAGATTTGTTCGGTGGAAGTTTCTATATATCCCATTTATGTCATACCGTATTTCCTGACTCAAAGATTATATGCAATGACTTCGACAACTATATGAACCGTCTCAAACATATTCCAGACACAAACAATATATTGAAAGAGTTAAAAGAAAAGATACCTATAGGTAAGATGGAACGTATACCATTAGATAAGAAAAATATTGTGAGAGAGGTTTTGAAAAAAGCAGAATATATAGACTGGGATAGTATATCTGCTAGACTATTATATAGTGGTGCTATAAGAGTTCATGACATTGAAACACTTATGTCAAAAGTTTTATATCTTAACTATACAAATGTTTTCAAAGAGGACATAGAAAAATATATTGAGGGTATAGAGTTTGTGAGATGTCATTGGACAGAGTTGTATGAAAAATATAAAGACAAGGAAAATGTTTTCTTTATAGTGGACCCGCCGTTCTATAACACATGGGATTTTCAATACCAAGTAGACTGGACTTTGAGAGACTCTTTAGAAACTTTAGACGTTATACATAACCATCCATGCTTTTACTTTACATCCGATAAAAGTGGTTTGGAAACCGTTATGAGATGGTTAGAGGACATACATGACTATGAGTTTAGATATGACAAGATAGAATATGAGAGAGGTCCTATAAACCGGAGAAAGTGTCACAATAAAGAAATTTTATTAGTAAGTAAATGTGGTTTGAAATAGGACTACTTGTTTTAGGTTTTTTCCATTGTGTCATTTATTTATTTGACGTGGCAGAAAAGTACAGAGAATATGAAGATGAACCAATGCCTGCAAATGTTCAGTATATGTACTCGTAAGAGATATTTTTATCTAATATTAAATGGACGCACAGAACTTAGCGAATGCACAGCAACCTGGACAACCAAACCCAGAGAATATTCCAAATGAAGTTAGAATACAAACTGCAATGGCAAACTATGGTCAAGTGCCAACAGATGTACAAATGCAAACTGCCATGTCAAATGACGCTGCGTTAGGTTTGCCACCATGGTATGCAAATATGAGATGGAAAGAGTTTTATACAAACCCTGAAGTGGGATATAAACAACTTTATGCAGATGACGCGAACACAGGAGTTGACCCAGAATATGTTTTCTACCAGAGGAGAAACAGAATGTATGAGCTCCAGTTAAAGAATGCTATGGAACTCAACAGGAAACGTAAGAGACTAGGCGGACATTAGATTTTTACATATAGTAAAATGGGTTTCTTCAGTAGTATTGGAAACTTCTTCAGAAGAGTTGGAAGAGGTATATGGAATGGAATAAAATCTGTCGGAAAAGGAATTTGGAACGGTGTCAAAAATATTGGTAAAAGAGTAGGTCAGTTCGTTGGTATTATACCTAAAGACCCTGAACCAGAAGAACAAGCTCCTGTTATACAACAGCCTGAACCTGCACCACAGTCTAGTTGGCAACCAAATCCAACACCTCAACCGTATTAAAAAATTATATTTTTACCGTTCGATAGTAGTTGTATATGAAACTAAGTTCTAAGTAAAACGCATGGTATAATGGAATTATTCTTTTTCTTCCATCTGTAGTAAACCATACTTGAAAGTCTGAAATACTTCCACTCGGTGGTTCATATAGCTTTGTAGGTTTTTCGTAAAAGTCATTTGCCAAGCATAAGAAAGAGTTTTGGGCGCCAGAAAATGAAGCATGAACAATAATAGCAGCTGGATCGAAAACATTTTCATATGTTCCATTAGGGTTTTCGACTTCATAAAAGTCTGGGTGTACTGGATATGCTGCAGGCTGATTTAACATCCTCATAAATCTATACCATGCCAAGTTGTTATATTTTGTAGAAATATAAACGTTTTCTCCAAGGTCTTCTATTTTATTGATTTTAACAGTTGCATTTTTCCTGTCATAAATAATATCGAGATGGTATTCTCCTTCGTCAATGTTATACTGGTTTGCATATTCGATATAGATATCGTTTATTTTTTCTTGAAAAGCTTGAAGAGTTGTTTCTAAGTTTACAAGCAAACTAACTTGTAAAAGTTTTCCCTGTTCAAATTTCTCATACATACGTTTTTCTTTGTTATAGTATCGAACTTCAAAACCGACCGTAAATGGGAAACCATGTATGGCTTCTGAAATGAACTTCATTCTACGAAAGCCAATAGCTTTTGTGACAGATGGGTCTCTTAACTATCTTAATGGGTAGTCAAAACGATAGCCTTCATGCTTTACGGTCTCTGTCTCAAACTTTTGACCGACATTAGTAAAAAGTTCATCTAATGGTTTAGTTGTAGCAACTCTTGAATTTTCTTTTTCTATTGAAAGCATATTTTATCTAGAATAAAATGTCGAAAGATATTGCTTCCATAAGAGAAATACAACACAACCGACAACTCATTATGCAAGCTCTAAATAAGAACACAACAAACTTTTCAAACTATTCTAAGATATCTGAGTCATTGAAAGAAGGAAACTTAAAACTGACATTAAACCCAATGACAGATGAGTTTCTATTTCAAGACAATAAGAACAATACTGTCTGTATAAATCCAACAAAAGGAACTTTAAACGAGAAACCTATAAATGAACTTCTTTTGAAGGCAGATGTTGACAACAAAGCTGACAAAGAATATGTAGACGATGCAATAGCAAAAGAAGCAGAAAGAGCTAACAATGCTTATGCAACAAAAGAACATACTCATCCTGAACTAGCAGACAAAACATATGTTGACAATAAAATGTCAAGTGAAGTGACAAGAGCTGAAAACGAATATTCTAAAAAGACTCATATACATTCTATATCTGATATTACAAACTTACAAGAAACCTTAAACAGTAAAAGTGCCGTTGGACATACACATACATCTTCTGAAATAACAGACTTAAACGTTAGCCTTGAAAAGAAAGCAGATAAAACATATGTCAATGAAATATACCAAAGTTTGATAGGAACAACAAAAAATATTGAAACTATTGTTGGTGACTTTTCTGTCAATGAAGAAAATAAATATTTTAGATGGCAGTTTGTACACTCCTTAAAAAATGGTATACGGTGGAAACTCATTCCGAAAAATAACAATGAAATGTATGTAAGTTATAAAAAGAATAATGGCACACAAGTTAAAGTTCCATTAGACAACAACTGCTACTTAAACTTATATGGAGACGAACAAAAGAAATATTTCCGAGTTTATGAAATGGCAGATATGACATTGCCTGACCCAGCTCCAGCACCATATTATTATGACTATGGAGATGACGACAGAACACCACATGTAGATGAACAAAAGCTAACATTATATTTAGATTATTATAGATATAAAAGATATAATGCAATAGAAAAAACGAGAATAGTATATTATTATACAGATGACAGAAATAAATATTATAGTCAAGATTTTACCTACCCTGAAAACATAAGATTATATTATAAAAAATATTCTGACACAAACCAGAAGAAACCTGAAATAGTTGCACTATATTTTAAGTTCAAAAGAGACAATCCTATAATATCTCATATGTTTGATTTAATGAACCCAGTAGGTTCTATTTATACATCTATGGAAGCAAGAGGTCCTCAAGTAATGTTTGGTGTTGGTGCATGGGAACAAATAGTCGACAGGTTTTTGTATTGTGCAAACTCTTCAAAGGAAACAGGTGGAAGTAAAACGATTTCAGGTGAAAATTTACCTGCGCACAGTCACTACATAGATTTAAGTACATCTCAAGCAGGTTGGCATAAGCATAGATATTGGGATTGGTCAGCAATGACAAAAGGTAAAGGATATGATGTTAAAGACGACGTTAAGTTTGCCATAAATTGTTACTGGGACGATACACAGGGAGAAGGAAACCATACACATTTCGTTTCAGGATATACACAAACAACGGGACAAAGTAAAGAATACATGCCACCTTACATGACAGTTTACGCATGGTATAGAATTGCTTAGTCGTCATTTTCAACTTCTTTAGCATATTCGTCAGGAGTTGTCTTATATTTGTTAGGAACTGTCTTTGAAAGTATACCACCTTGAACTTTGACAAGTTTGAAACGAGGTCTGACAATAGTAGTTTTATCTTCTGCTTGCAGTGTGTACATTTTGCCATGTTTGCCTAAAACTTCATAATATTCTCTTGTATACTTTCTTCTATTTTTACGAACACGAATGTGAGTACCTATCGGGTTCCCATTGTTGTCATAGTCAATAGTATTTTCATATGGGTCGCGTTTAGGTATTTCTATTTTTACTTTGTCACCTTTCTGAAGTTTGAAGCCCGGCATTCTTTCTTGTTTGTCTCTTTTGACTAAATTATTAAATATATAGTCTTTCTCTAAGTCAGGGTTGTTTTTCATTTCTTCGGGGGAGTGGTTTCCCAAACCTTTTTGTTTACGGTTATTGTAAATATTTAAAACTTGTCTCATCTTTGCCATGGAGAAGTGTCTATATTTGTCGTCATATGACATTTCATTTGCTTCACCACCTTGTGGTTGGTTTAAGTCTCTTAACATTTTTATACATCCGTCAATGACACCAAGAGCAGAATGGTTTTGGTCGACAATGAAATATTGGTTTACATTTTTTGAACGCAGATAGTTTTTAATATCATCTGATTTGAAAGAACTTTCACAGTCAGATGTCAGTTTTGTTGGATGGTATTTGTCAACGAATATTGTCAAAGCGGTTTTCACATCTAAAATATTTTTGGACTGTAATGGTATGGCTTCACAGTATCTTGTGTTTTGACCAACAAATATTAACCAGTATGGTGGTCCATCTGTTCTAACTCTCGGAATGTTTTCCAAGATATCCATAAACCAAGCATTTGGTGTTGAACTAAAGATTTTTATCATGAGTGCTTTCTTTGTCGCTTTAGAAACATAGGGGTCCTTGTTTGGATTCGTCATTTTTTAACCCATAAGAAATGGGTTTATTTGGCGCATTAGCAGGAGTCGCATCTAGATTTTTGCCCGCAGTGGGAACAATAGCTAGAGGTGCATTTGGAATTGGAAGGAAGATTTTGAGTACATTAGGTATACTTAAAGAGAAAGCACAACCTATTATACAAACTGTACAGAAAGGTTGGGATGTAGCACGAGATGCAACAAATCTTATTCCAAATCCTGAAACAGAGGAAAAGTTCAAGGATGGATGGACAATGTAGGAAGACAAGCAGGAAACTATTATAACAAAGCAAATGACTACTATAACCAAGCAGGACACTATATGGACCAAGGTGAAAGATTCTTTAACAGAGGATATAACCATGCACAACAGTGGGTAAACAATAACCAACCTCAACCGCCTCAACGTGGGGAATGTAAAGTTTTTTACTGAGATGAAATGAACAATACAGCATTGAGAACAAAATGGGTTTCAAGATGGATTTGTCGGCTTCCAGCAGTTACACCACGTGTTTGTCAAGTCTTCCTATACCTCAGGAAGTTTTAGACCGACTTAAAAAACCTAAACAACCAGTTGAAAACAAACCAAACTAAAATTTTTTACTGAGATGAAATGACCGAAGAAGTTGAAACGGTAGATTTGACACCACAAACAAAAAGTTCAGAACCATTGTCAAAACCCGTCAAAGAAACTTACAGATGAAGAGAAAAATTCAATAATAGAAAGTGCCAGGTCTGGAAATACAAACCCTAACTACAAAGTCACTTTTCATAAAAATGGAAACGGCTAGTATCTCAAAAAAGAAACAGACTCTCACAAATAAAATATTGAAGTCTGAAGGAGCTTTCGAGACAACAGATGGAAAAGTTTACTTCACTGACCAACAGTTCATTATAGAAACATCTCATTGACTTAGAGTCGAAATATTCTAAACTTTACAACAAACACAAAAAGTTGAAAGGAAAACAAAAACAAATGGCATATGATATTTTATGAAGATGTTGACGACACAACTGTTCCTGCAAGTGAAGTAAAGTCAGAGGAACCGAAAAGTGACGAAAAACCGATAGAAGAAGAAAAACCAAAAACTGAAGATAAACCAAAACCAAAGTTTAGTTTCCAAACTAACACCAAGTCAACCTTCATTAAGCTGGTATGGGTTGGCGTCAAAGACTTATGGCAGCAGGTGGTTATGTAAAGTAAAGAAAAAAAATATTTTTTTTTTTTATAAAAATGCCCCCATATAGAATGGATAGAAAGTCTGCTAGAATAAAAGCAGAGTTACAAAGATATGGTTGGAGAGTTTCGAAGAAGTTTAAATATAGGAAGGGAAGACCCATAAAAAGTCTATGACAAATTGTCTGGTCTTCGCTACGAAATGGATTTGGAAACAGCACGTGCCAATTATCCAAACAGACTAGAGAGGTTAGAAGAAGAACGTCTTATGAACATGCCTTTCGATGTGTTAAACATTGCATGAAATAAAAAATTTATTTTTAAAAAAGTGACATTTTTTTATTTTATTTGAAATGTACGCTGAGTTTGTTGGAGAAGACCGTTGGGAAACTTGTTTGTTAGATGAGAAATATGAAATGGCATACCATTTTTAAAACAATATATTTTTACATATATTAAATGCTTCAGGTTGAAAAACAAAGAACAAAAGTAGCAGATACAAAACCGTTAGACTATATCTTTACAAAATGCTGGTAGGACTATTTCAGATGAAGAAATTTCATCCGAGCATACAGGTTTGACTATCCAATTCGTTGGCTTCAAAGTCCTTCAGATGCAAAGGCAATAGCATTTAGAAGAGTTTTGTTTTCAAATAGAACTAACCATTTATGTTCGCAGTATATTTTCATGGGCAGTATAAAGGTTCTGATGGTCTAATAGACAAATTTGACGAAATGAGAATCTTTACAGTTCGTTCAGACGAAAGTCTTGAGAAAACTCTAAATGACTTTCAAACTCAAATGAACAAATATTATTGGGAATTTCAAGAAAAATACGACTCTTTACTAAATGGAACATACTATCTGAAACTAGAATATGACAAGATGAACTCCACCGTTTCATTTCAAAAGATTGAAATTAACCCTCCAAGAGATACAGAGTTTTTATATTGGAAAGTAGACAAACGTTCTTGGGCACAATTTCTTCGGTTACTAAACCAGAACGAACCATTACCACCAGATGGTCCATTTCAATTTATACTTCCACCAGCAGATTTGACAGTTTATAGAAACGTGTTTGACCCTCAAAATGTTATGTGTCATGCAAGTTTCAGTTCAAGCAACAATAGTTTTCTATGTATTGGTAAGGACTTTTATGACTTTGCTTCTAAATTCTACGAACCACCTAGTAACAGTTTCTCTGACTTTCAAGTTTGGTTCACAACAAATGGTGTGCAACATATTATTCCATTGTACTATGACTTTTATCTCGAATTGTCTTTCATATATAACTACGGAAAAGTGCTGAAAAAGTATTGAAAAATAATGTTTATGTTAGCATGTTAGATCTAACACGTTTTCTAACCACTTTTCTAACATCGTAGAAAACTCATGAAAACAATTTATTTTTGACACTTTCACAAAAAACATAAAAAAAGTGAGTTAAAATGAGATGTTTACTGAACTGGTTGGATGTCGCCTTCACAGGTTATGTAGAATGGTTGACCAGAGTAGTGAAGGAGACCCTTGAGAATTTGTATAATTCGTGGAATTGGACTCTCTCTGTTTGGAAGTTGTATCCAAGGACGCTTGGCAAAGAACTTTATAATGGCTTCCTTCTTTGCTTGCTTTATGTCGTCGTAGGCTGTCCCGTCTGGTACGTCAATTGGAATTCCAGTCGAAATCTCGAGATTCAAGGCAGCCCTTCCAGAAATAGTGGTGAACTTGACCTTGGGCTTCATGACCTTGCGCAAGTAGTCTTTTACGCAGTCGTTAATTTAAATTAGGTAAACTGCCTCGTCGGTAGGTTCGACCTCGACCATTGCTACTGTCAGTAAAAGTACTGCTACTGTCAGAAAAAGTACTGCTACTGTCAGTAAAAGTACTGCTACTGTCAGTAAAAGTACTGCTACTGTCAGTAAAAGTACTGCTACTGTCAGTAAAAGTACTGCTACTGTCAGTAAAAGTACTGCTACTGTCAGTAAAAAGGAAAATTTGAGAGGGTTTTCGACGATAAAGTACTGCTACTGTCAGAAAAAGTACTGCTACTGTCAGTAAAAGTACTGCTACTGTCAGAAAAAGTACTGCTACTGTCAGTAAAAGTACTGCTAGTAGCAGAGATTTTTATCGTTGGTGGTCTGACGGTTAAGCCACAAACGAATGTCCCACGTCCCACCAACCCTTGGTTGTTCCAGCAATTCCAATCTCAATCCAAATCGAAGAGAGACCAAGAGTTCGAAGAAGGTCTGAACCGCTTACGCAAAGAGTATGCTACAGCTCCAATTGAGAGAAAGTTGTTCCCGGACCAAAAAATAATGTTTAGGGTAGATGGTTAGATCTAACCTCATTTCTACCCTCATTTCTACCCTCATGAATTTTCATGAATTTTCATGAATTTTATATATTAATGTTTTCGTTAATTTAAATTAGGTAAACTGCCTCGTCAAATCCTTCTGGCATTCCGAGTCCTTCCATCCGACAGGAAAAAATTTTCCCGACAACAGGAAAAAATTTTCCCGACAACTGGAAAAAATTTTCCTTCCGACAGGAAGAACTCTTCCAGTTGTCCGTCCGTAAACCATTCAAATTTTCGAAAATTGAGAACTTTTTGGTCGAACTTCAGAAAAAGTTTTTCCTTCCAACAGGAAAAAATTTTCCTTCCAACAGGAAAAAATTTTCCATCCGACAGGAAAAAATTTTCCCGACAACTGGAAAAGTTCTTCCTTCCGACAGGACACAAACGAATGTCCGACGTCCCTCTTCCTGAACGCCTTCCCAAACCAGAGGAACCTAAAGCACCAGCCCCTGCACCTCAGTTCCAGCAAGTACCTCTGAATTACTACCAATTTCCACCTCAAGGTTACTACCCACCACAAGGCTTCCCGAACTACCCTCCTCAGCCTATGCCTTACTGCCCCAACCCTTGGTTGTTCCAGCAATTCCAATCTCAATCCAAATCGAAGAGAGACCAAGAGTTCGAAGAAGGTCTGAACCGCTTACGCAAAGAGTATGCTACAGCTCCAATTGAGAGAAAGTTGTTCCCGGACCAAAAAATAATGTTTAGGTGAAGAGGTGAGATCTCACCCGTTTTCTCACCTCTTTTCTCACCTCTTGAATTTGTCATGACTTCTTCGTAAACTAAACGTAAATGTTTTGTGAAGAATATAGCAACAGTCTGAATTCCGGCGGTTGCTTTTTATACAAAATTCATGCAGGAAATTCTTGAGTTTTGGTTGAAAGAATACGGTGGAGCCAAATGTGGCTCGACCTCAAAACAAGCATTTTATGAGCTTACAAAGGGTGTTATGAATGAATTCAGCAACATACATCCTGACCTCGTTCATTTTGTTGCTAAATTCAGTAAAAATATATTTTAGGTGAAGTGGTGAGATCTAACACGTTTTCTAACCTCATTTCTAACCTCTTGAATTTTCATGAATTTTATATATTAATGTTTTCGTTATGCCACTTTGTGCCGTCAGTCAGTCAGTCAGTCAGTCAGTTTAGGAAATTTACACCAAAAATAATGTTTAGGGTAGAAGGTTAGATCTCACCTGTTTTCTCACCTGTTTTCTCACCTGTTTTCTCACCTCATGAATTTTCATGAATTTCCTTAAGATAGAAAAAATAAAATTAGTTTTATTTTGTATTTTTTTGTATAAAAGATATGATTTCAGGGATTTTTTTGACGAAGTGTTAATGTTCACTTCGTCAAAAAATAACAGTTATCTAATGAAAAAGTGTCATTTTTTTCATTTTTTTGTATTTGACGAGAATGTTTAGGGTAGAAGGTTAGATCTAACCTGTTTTCTCACCTGTTTTCTCACCTCATGAATTTTCATGATTTCATCGTAAATGTTTTGTCAAAACTTCTTCGTAAATGTTTTGTCAAAACTTCTTCGTACATGCTTTGTCAAGACTTTTTCGTACATGCTTTGTCAAACATGAACGTATATGTTTTGTCAAACATGAACGTACATGTTTTGTCAAAACTTCTTCGTAAATGTTTTGTCAAGACTTCTTCGTAATGAGCGTAAATCAGACAAAAATATATTTTAGGTGAAGTGGTGAGATCTCACCTGTTTTCTCACCTGTTTTCTCACCTCATGAATTTTCATGATTTCATCGTACATGCTTTGTCAAGACTTCTTCGTATATGTTTTGTCAAAACTTCTTCGTTTATGTTTTGTCAAACATGAACGTACATGTTTTGTCAAACATGAACGTACATGTTTTGTCAAGACTTCTTCGTACATGTTTTGTCATGATTTCATCGTAATGAGCGTAAATCAGACAAAAATATATTTTAGGTGAAGTGGTGAGATCTCACCTGTTTTCTCACCTGTTTTCTCACCTCATGAATTTTCATGATTTCATCGTAAATGTTTTGTCAAAACTTCTTCGTTTATGTTTTGTCAAACATGAACGTACATGCTTTGTCAAGACTTCTTCGTACATGTTTTGTCATGACTTCTTCGTAAATGTTTTGTCATGATTTCATCGTAATGAGCGTAAATGACCAAAAAATAATGTTTAGGGTAGAAGGTGAGATCTCACCTGTTTTCTCACCTCTTTTCTCACCTCATGAATTTTCATGAATTTTCCCGAAATAAAAAATAAAGTTAGTTTTATTTTTTTTCATTTTTTTGTATTTTTTTGTATGTAAAGATATGATTTCAGGGATTTTTTTGACGAAGTGTTACTCTTCACTTCGTCAAAAAATAACAGTTATATAATGAAAAGTGTCATTTTTTTCATTTTTTTGTATTTGACGAGAATGTTTAGGGTAGAAGGTTAGATCTAACCTGTTTTCTACCCTCATTTCTACCCTCTTGAATTTTCATGAATTTCCCCGAAATAAAAAATAAAGTTAGTTTTATTTTATTTATTTTTTTTATTTTGTATAAAAGATATGATTTCAACAATCGGCACAACAACAATTCAAACAACAGCACCAAACTCGTTAGTCATGAATCCAACATCTATGTTAGTAGAAATGAAAAGCTTCATTCCTTCTTCATATACTTTCGAAACAAAAATCCAGAAGATAAAGCAAGAACTTTTAACAAGTAATTTAGACTGTAGTGCGAAAGATGAAGAAAATGAAGAATATCTTTATGAAATGCAGGACATTATTGACCATTTGCCTAAACTACCTGAAATTCAGCAACAAAAACTCACTATTCCTGAATTCGACGAAATTGAAGTGAAACCAACTGACTCAGTAGAAATAAAGAAGTTCATACGTAAGGTAAATTATGAATTCCTTGGTTTTCATTGCAACCATAAGGTTATGGACAAAGATTGCGATATGGTATATAAGAATGTTTCTGACATATATAAATCTGAAGAATTTAAGACATACGACAACTTTGTTTCGTTAGTTGCTGAATGTGTTTGGGAAATAAGAGATAAAGATAGAAGAGGCAAAGTATGGAACAAACAGATAAAACCAGCAGCTTTTGAGTTAAAGAAAACCATTGACGCCTTAGTTGTTTTAGCAGGTAAGGTTTCAGAATATAACGCAAAAATGAACCCGCAATGTTCTAAATGTAAAGCAGCAATTAGGAAATATAACTACTCCGTCAAAGAGATAGAACGTATGCGAAACGACTATGCAGACTTAAAGAAAGAAGCAGAGAAGCCGGTAGAAAATAAAATGGACATGTTAGAATTTCTGAACAAAAACTATCCAACAGCAGAAGATTTCCTTCTATCTGACGTCAAGAAGAAGTATAAAGAAACTTTCGGTATCGTTAAAACTTTTGACATACTGACAGAAGAAATAGAAGCTACGAAATTGTTTAGAATTTCAAATATACATCGTACAATTCATGTAAAACGCTTGTGAAAAAACTGGGGTGAGAAAACAGGTGAGAAATGAGGTTAGATCTAACCTTCTACCCTAAAATATATTTTTGTCTGATTTACGCTCATTACGAAGAAGTTTTGACAAAACATTTACGAAGAAGTCTTGACAAAACATGTACGAAGAAGTTTTGACAAAACATTTACGATGAAATCATGAAAATTCATGAGGTGAGAAAACATATACGTTCATGTTTGACAAAACATTTACGAAGAAATCATGAAAATTCATGAGGTGAGAAAACAGGTGAAAAAACGGGTGAGATCTCACCACTTCACCTAAAATATATTTTTGTCTGATTTACGCTCATTACGAAGAAGTCTTGACAAAACATGTACGATGAAATCATGAAAATTCATGAGGTGAGAAAACAGGTGAGAAAACAGGTGAGATCTCACCACTTCACCTAAAATATATTTTTGTCTGATTTATGCTCATTACGATGAAGAAGTCTTGACAAAACATTTACGAAGAAGTCTTGACAAAACATGTACGAAGAAGTCTTGACAAAACATGTACGATGAAATCATGAAAATTCATGAGGTGAGAAAACAGGTGAGAAAACAGGTGAGATCTCACCACTTCACCTAAACATTATTTTTGCTGAATTCAGCAACAAAATTCTTGATTTCAGGGATTTTTTTGACGAAGTGTAAATCTTCACTTCGTCAAAAAATGGCATAAGATTGCTTCCCTCGGAAAACCGAGAGAAGAACAGCGAGTAAGTAAAAAAACTTAGTCGCCAAAACTCTATGAAATTCATGAATTTCCTTAAGATAGAAAAAATAAAGTTAGTTTTATTTTTATTTATTTTTTTATTTTGTATGTAAAGACATATATGTCAAACATTGAGTTTGAAACAGTTAGAAAGATAGACAATGACACCAAATTGGTTAGAATAGGTGATTTAAACGTAAGATACTCAAAGAAATACAACAAATATTCTTTGTCAGACATTATATTTCCATCTGGAAAGAAAACAAAGGACTGGGTTAGAATTGCTTCTACTCAGAAAATTTTGACAAGAAATCCTGAGCTTATGATATCGGTAAGATTCTATGGAACTGCAGCATATCTCATCGACAAAAGTTTATACCAATAGTTTTGTTATGGTTAGACCCAGTTGTTGGATATAACTTCATAACATATGGTTCATTCGATACGGAACGTTGCAGTGAAGGCTTACTTTACATCGTTCAGAAACCGAAGGACTTCAATACAAAGAGATATAAGATAGGAAGAACATATAATATAACTCAAAGATATGACAGTACAGTCAATAGAGTCAAGGTTGTGTTTGTTAATGATATGAGAGCTGCAGAAACAGAACTACTTGAAAAGTTTGAGAAAATGTATGGTGCTCCCATAAAAGGTAAAGAAACGTTTGAAGTAGATAAGATAGATAAAGCTATAAAATTATTTGACGAAGTTGCTGAAAAATACATGTAAAGCGTTTATTTTTGGTCTTTTGTGAAAGTCAGAAAATAACGCTAATTTTTTATAAAATATTTTTTTATTTTGTATGTAAAGACAGATATGTCAACAACAGAGAACACAACAACTGCTATCGTTCATGAAGCTATAAATGAAGAATACGAGTACATACAGTTTAACAAACAACTCCGTCTCATTCGTTCGGTCAAAGACGATATGTACCAAATGCAAAGTATTTTGACAGCATGTTTTGCTCCAGATACTAAGAAACCACAAGACTGGTTTAGGAACCAAAGCACTATTGAACTATTAAATGAAGCTGAAAATTCGACTACGGATTTTTTCGTAGTCGCAAAAACTCGAGTAAGTAAAAAACCGCAGTTGCCAAAACTCTATGAAAACAGTGAAGAACAGCGAGTAAGTAAAAAACCCCAGTCGCCAAAACTCTATGAAAACAGTGAAGAACAGCGAGTAAGTAAAAAACCCCAGTCGCCAAAACTCTATGAAAATCGTGAAAAATTGCCAAACGGTTTGAGAGGATATTATGTACATAGACTTCTTGTAAATGCTGTTGCAATGTGGGCTTCGCCTCGTTATGCTTGGAATATTTACAGACTTCTTGACGAAATTCATAGACAAGAACGTGAAGAGCTAGAGAACAAGCTTGAAGCAAAAGACAAAAGCATTCAGAAAAGAATACCACGTTCGGTACCAAAAGGAAAGGAAAAGAACTATAAGTATATGATTTATACTGAAGAGATGGAA